GCACTTTTTATCAGTACCCAATCACTTAAGAAATATTTTACAGTCGCACAAACGCTAACTCAAATTTTAATCGAAATAATGTTCCTGGAATCTTTTCGAAGCTTTCCAAATATGTTTGATCCGTACCAAGTCTAGGGATCGAGTCAATATTTTCGATTGTGGGATTACTTTTTCGATGGTTTTCAATTTTTTTCTAACCCCAGTCTACCTCTACCGAGAGAACGTGGTGCACTGATTAAGGCAACATTTGTCGCGTTCTCGTTGTGTGTTCATGATTGGCACCAGTAGGAAATTGGAAACAAACTAATTTCGAATTTTATTTGGTATATCACTGAGTTCGGAGTCGCGACATGGACGCTAAAGTCAAGAAGAAGATAAAAAAAAACGTTTTCGCATAAGATTTTTTTTTTCAGAATTTGGTACGTTTAGTTTGTCGCAAAACCCATGACTTCTCGGCTATTTTCTAAAAAACTTACCCTGTCACAATGAAGGAGAATATAACGCTGGACACGAAGCTGACTGTTCGCACTGTGTCTGGGTATCCGCGCTCTCTGCAAGGTTACATAACCATAAATCTTTTTAAACTTGTGTAAAACAAAGCATATAAATGCGTCCAATGAACATAAATAAATGTACGCGTCCATAAACTACCTAAGTCTCTTGCATATTTTTATATGTTCAGGCACGTTTAGAAACAAATCACACCGGAAATTGTTTCCCGTCAATGGAACAATTACTACTTACAACTTTAAACTTAATTAAAGGCACAAAACAACCTTTTTTTTATTTACAAAAGTGCTAATGTTGATTTACAATGCTAACAAACTTTGCGCTCAACGTCTCTGTTAACTAATAGAAGTTCATTTTACTTTTTCATATACTTTTGTGAGGTGTGTGAATCAGCATATTTTATTTGTTTTAATGATTCATAAAAAAGGTACGACAGGAAAAATAGACGTAAGCTGAATATGGCGGCTGAGACTAGTCACGCACAGGACTTGAAAATTTTTTTTTAAATATCTTTCTAAAAAGAAAATTATTGACTCGCCGCTGCCACCACGCTGATTCTTGCAGAAATGCGTGAGCATTTCAAGCAGCGGCTTTATACAGGGTGTTTCACGAAATGTGGACAAATTTGATATTGCAAACACTACGCGTCGCAAAAAAAAAAAAAAAAAAAAAAAAAAAAAAAAAAACTTGTGTCGTTTTGGTTTTGGGCCAGGTGCCCATTTGGGCAAATTATTGAAGTCCGGGATAATTAAGTTGTTAATTATTTTTGCCTAATTAACTTTTTTAATATTGTGTTTAAAGCGCGAGACACATGCGCGTCAAAACTGTCCGATCCGGCGTGCGAACTGTCGGGAAGATGGCTGCTCCGAATCGCCGCACAGGACGGTTCGCGACACATGGTTTCCGACGCGTCGTTGCGTTGCTCCGTTCAGCTCCGCCCAGTTTCGGGTGTCCTTCTACCAAATGGATAAATGGATGCTAATGGCTATATTTATAACGGGCGGTAGCTCGCGCCACCTAGCCTAGAAAAATAAATACTTCCCTCGCCCTTCTTGGTTTTTCCGACTTTCAAACAAACGTAATATTTTTATTACATTCTATTAAAGTGTGCGTGTGTGAAGATTTTCCGTGAGGCTATTTTTCTGCTCAACATCACTTAACCGCGAAGGAACGCAGCGGACCTTAGAGCCATCCCAGCGAAACGAGCACTGCGTACGAATCACGTGACTACGTACCGCGCGCATTGCTGAGTCTCTCCCCAAGTTCACGTGACACTCACATGACATTGGAATGGCTCGTAGCGTCCGCTGCTGTCCATCCTAAGGTGAAACGGAGTATATTCGGGTTTCGACGGGCTCGATCGGTCCCAGAAGGCCGGCTTGCTTTGGCGCGCGAAATCAGCAGCTCGTTCTGTGCGCGCGGGAAAACTCGGTGGCGTCCGTTTCCTTCACTACCACGACTCGCCTCGCGTGACGCACCGCGCACCGCCACATCCGCTTCTCCGAACCACGTAGCGCCTCCTCGCCCGATCGGTCCGAATGCCACTTGACAACATGACCTTCGCCATCCGTGCTCATTGGCTGCGGCCACTGCGGCCTTCCGAAAATCGGACCGTGCGTGCGGCGATATCTGGCAAGTTGGACGCACGCCGGCGCCGGACGGAGGCCTCGTCGGACGCTCCGGTGCGACGAAAACCCTCGCCCTCGGACGTCGTTCCGGCGGTTCGCACGTCGGATCGGATGGCTTTTTCGCGCATGTGTCTCGCGCTTTAGGGCATGATTTCAATTAGAAAATTACTCAGCATCATAAAAAAATTAATAAATCAACAAATCCCAGAACAATAAAAGGCACGCGCAGCATTTTACGGCTTTCTGAAAAACCGCAAAAATTCGGCGGGTTTTTAAGTTTCGGTCTGCTATCGGAGCGCATCTCGGCCACGACGGCTCCGCGCCCCGTGAAGAAATAGTGACACCAGCCTCTGCTGCGTCGCGCGATGACAGCGCAGCAGAGGTTGGTTGCATTGTTTCTCAACGGGGCGCGGTGTGGGGCCGAGATGCGCTCCGACAGCAAACCGAAACTTAAAAACCCGTCGAATTTGTGCAGTTTTTCAGAAAGCCGTAAAATGCTGCGTGTGCCTTCTCTCGTTCCGCAATTTGTTGATCAGTGTTATTGGATGATGCTGAGAAATTTTCTAATTAAAACCATGTTCTTAAACACAATATTAAAAGTTAATTACGCAAAACTAATTAACACTCTGACTATCCCGGACTTTAATAATTTTCCTAGATAGGCCCCTAGCCCAAAACCAAAACGACACAATTTGTTTGGGTTTTTTTTTCGCGACGCGTAGTTTTCGCAATGTCGAATTTGTCCACCTTTCGTGAACACCCTGTATAACAAAGCATGGTGAATACAGTCTCAGCACTTTCGGCCGAATGAACATTCACGAAACTCTCTTGTCCGTGGCGCAAGCTAAACAGGCCACTTAGCGTGTGCATGAAAAACATCCCCGCGATTCGCGGATAATGACAGAGGTATTTCATTCTTGTGGTTATATGTTGTGTACACAGGGGCGACGACACGTGTGATTAGAGCCTGGTAACATGGTGAGACGCCTACGCATCAAGAACTGCGTGGCAGGCCGAAGAACAGAACCGTTGCCCCTGTGCGTTTTACATATTTCCAAAGACGGAGGAGGAGCTTCCGAGGGCTTCCAAAGCGCGCACCTGCACCACTGCTGCTTATATAGAGATGCTAGGAAATAGAACGCATACCAACGGCGGCCGCACAGGACTGGCCGGTAGAGAGCAGCGACATGTCGTAAAATATAACAATAGAGGAGTAGTGGGGTAAAGCGGGGCTAGAGCGTACTTGAGCCGCCGACGGGGCGCCGCGAAATGGTGTGTACGGGAGGGCCAAGATGGGTTAATATTTTCCAAGGGGCTCTTCGCGGACTGTCGCCATGCAGCGACGTCATCCAGGGGGGGGGGGGGGGGGGGGGGGGCGGTTAAAAGGCGCCCCAGTAATACACCTAACGTGCCCATCTGCAGGCGTCAAAATTGCCGAAGGGGGACGTCGAAGGCGATCTTGTGTTGCTAGGTGTTACATCACGGCGTCTCGATGTTGCATCACGGCGTGTGGACTCCGTTGCTATGCGTCCTATCGCCTTGCCTTTCCAAATATGCACCTTGCCGCCATCTGTCGGCGCTTGCAAAAGGTGTTTCCTAGCCAGTTTCGACAGCTTGCGGGACGTTGCAAACTTTAGTTGGTTTAAACCGTCCAAAGTCAGCGCATGTGCCCGAGCACTATTGCTAACGCATTCAAAAAGAGGGGTGCCACTCAAGGCGATGCATTGCTGCAGAATACCACAATACATTCTTCCGATTTGATCTGCTTCTCTGTGCTTTTTTTTTTCGTTGATTTGACTTATACTAGGTTTTACAAGATATATAATTTGGTACAGTGCGACTATCAGTCACCCTATTATAACTATTTCCTGACTTAAGCCTTAATTAATTGTCACATGTTTCCTGAACAAGTTTGCCTAAGGCCTTCTCAAGGCTGAACAAACTATTCCTTTAGTGTTTCAAGGTGACTGGCGGACGTAATGAAGGTTGTTTACAAAGCTTCAAAGTAAATGCCGGACTGCAACTCTCACTGCATTCACCTTACTGTGTACACAAAGCTACTTACATGGCGACTTTAATTGCGTGGCAGTAATGACAGGCAAACTGCGCAGCTGTACCTATTCCGATGAAAACCTGTGCAATGTAAGCCATCCACAAGGTCCTGTATGTAACAGAGCACCAAATAAAATACCGTTAAGGTTTCGGGTTTCTCAACTTTACAACTCCAGCTAGCAAAGGATTCGAACCTCCAAAAATCTCGCGTCTTTAATCTGGTCTCGGAAATCAAGGTATCGCACTAGAGAGGCAATCTCTGATATATTGGTAGACTTGTACGGTACCCATTAAAAGTAATCCAATTACTTGTAATTTGGTTACCGTTAATATTATTAAAATTTGTGAGTGATTATTTTGTTCGTGACGTGTACAAGAGTGGTTTTACTTATAAGGCATTTATGTTGCACTCTTTTTTAATTTCGAATACTTCCAAATGTTTATAAATTCTCATTTATTTAAATCATAAACAAACTAAACAAGGCCGTTTTGTTCGAGTTCCAGTTAATGAAACATCCAGAGTTTCGCTAAATATAAATCGTGCATGTAATGTGTAAGCTGAACGCGTCATAGGTCTTGGCTGCTTAGGAGTTTTAGGTCAGTAGGTGTTGAAATTATAATTTCATTATGGTCAATTAGCATTTTATTATTGTTTCAGTGCGTAGCATATTGATTTTGAGAGGTGTCTGAATGGAAAGTTTGGTTTGATAGATCTATATCAAATACTAATAAACAAGAAATAAAACAATATTGAAATGTTTTTGTTCATAATAAAGAAAATGACAGACGTTTACGATTCTCTGTAATGCAGAATTAGAGCGCAGCTCTTGAGAAGGAGGAGGCGAGGGTATACGGAGGGGAGGATATACCCCTTCTATCCCTCCATACCCTCCCCTCCTCTTTGCTACCCTCCCATATTGCGGGAAATTTTCTCTAAGTGTCAAACTAAATCTAGCGAAAATTTCTCCGCTAAATTTAGCAGGGAAACTGAATTGGTGTTAAAGTCACGCGACGTCAATTTCCCCGCTAAATTTAGCGGGGAAACTGAATTGGTGTTGAAGTCACATGAGGTCCATTTCCCCGCTAAATTTAGCGGGGAAACTGAATTGGTGTTAAAGTCACGTGACGTCAATTTCCCCGCTAAATTTAGCGAGGTAATTTTTTTCGCAAAATTTAGCGAGGTAATTTTTCCGCAAAATTTATCGGAAAACTTTTTCCGCTTAATTTTACGTGACGTCACATTCATTCACGTCACGCCACACGTGACGACACGTGTGATGTCACGAGGATAACATTTGCCCGCTAAATTTATTAAAAATATTTCCCACCAAATAAAGCGCAAAAAGTACCCCGTGTTGAGTGGCGTTACGTGTGTCGTCACGTGACGTCACATGTGACGTCACGGGTGGTGTCATTATGCGAACCGACGGCGACGCCGCTCCACCCGAAAACGGTCGCTTGAAAGCTGCGCTCTAAGAATGAAAGGCTATTCTCTGTAATGCCGAATTAGAGCGCAGCTCCTGAAAAAGAGGAGGGGAGGGTATGCCCCTCCTCCCACTCCGTACCCTCCCCAGCTCCTTCACTGGTAAATCTAGCAAGAAAATTTCGTTGCTAAATTTAATGGAAAAATGTCCCCGCTGTATTTAGCGGCAAACTTTCCCCGCTAAATTTCACGGCGAAATTATTCCGCTAAATATAGAGGGGAATTTTTCCCGCTAAATTTAGGGGGACATTTCCACGATAAATTTAGTGGGGAAGTTTTCGCTAAATTTAGCGGGGAAAGCTTTCCGCTAAATTTAGTGAGAAAATGTTTACGTTAAATTTAGCAGGAAAATTATCCGCTAAATTTATTGGCGAAAGTTTTCCGCTAAATTTAGTAGGGGAAATTTTCCGCTTAATACCGGGTGTCCCAAGTAGCGGCCAAGCTCTTTAAATTGACCGCGAAATTCGGTTTCTGAACCTATCGCGCAACGATTTTGTGCAGCGTTGCCCACAGGTGATGCATTTTTTTCCCTGAAAATAGCGAGGAGCGAGCTTGCCTCAGGAAAAGGCGAAGAAGGAAGAATGCTTAGCTCCTATGGAAACGCAGTCAAGCCACCGGTCTTCAAACACTACGGCGCCGTTTCACACGGGGAACAATTAAGAGATGGCGCAAGAGTTCGCGACCCCAACTGTCGCCAACAAACGAGCATACGGCGCCGAGAGCCGGCGTCTTTAGCAGACGATTTTTTCCACTCAAAAGCGGCGCGAGCTTTTTTCATATCAGTTGCCAATGCATTATTTTATCATCCTTACTAATAAAACACATTGAATGGACGCATAATCGATTAAAAATGGTTTGTCGGGTTATTTTAACTTTTTTTTTTCGTGGTACTTTTGTCGACTGCTCTGCGGCTCGTTGTTGTTACCGCGCCTGTTTTTGTTTCTGCGACTCTCGCCGCCTGCGAAACGCGCTCCAGTTTTGTGTCGAAATATCGTCTGCTAAAGACGTCGGCTCTCGGCGCCATATGCTCGTTCGTTGGCGGCAGTTGGCGTCGCGACCGCTTGCGCCATCTCTTGTCTCCCGTGCGGAACGGCGCCGTACTCTTTGAAGACCGGTGGCTTCGCCATAGGAGCTAAGCCTTTTTCTTCCCTCTTTCCTCAGGTAAGTTAGCTCTTTGCACATTTAACAAAAAAAAAAAAAAAGAAAGCACCATCTGTGGGCAACGCTGTACAAAGTCGTAGCGCGATAGGTTAAGAAACCGAATTTCGCGACCGATTTAAAGAGCCTGGCTTCTACTTGGAAAAACCGGTATATCGAGAACTTTTTTGCGCTAAATCAGGTTTGGACGCTTTTCCGCTGAATATAGCGAAAACATTTTCCGCTAGATTCAGCGAGAAAATTTTCCCATAATGCAACGGGGGGTTACGCCTGCTTGCATTATTCCCACAGTCCAACGAGCGCGTTTACGCCGACGCCGTCGGCGACAGCGAGGGTGTCGCCGCTCAAGCCGGAAACGGGCGCCTAATAGCTGCGCTGTAAAATGGAATATATCTTGGTGGGCAGCGACTGTTGTTTGTCGAGAACATATGTTGCTCAGGCTGTTTCATTAATAATTCAAACTTTCTTACGGTTCGCAGGGAATGAAGGGTGCTGGTCCAAGCAGTATGTAAGCCAGAATGGCTAGAATGTGTCCTATCAGCCCGAACCCCGCTTCCATCTAAAATGATATAAATAAATATTAAAATAGCCTTTATAGTTTAGGATGAAAGTAAAACAAATCACCGATCGGCTTCCTAGGCCCATTTGTTCTTCTCAGCAACCGTAAGAAAGACTAAATTACGGTAACAATCTTAACTAACTTTGCGGCTTACCTTATAAGTGCAGAAGACTGCTGAACATATAGAGCCTACGGTGTAGCTGGCATATTGAACCATGAAGACGACGCCGATTTGTGCGCTATTCATGTGGAACTGCAGAAGAAAAAAAAAACATTATTCCTTAGTTTGCCGGCTAGAGTATTTAGGATGCACAGCAGCAAAATAACATATACCCAAACATGAGCCGAAACCTTCAAAACTTGAACTACGGAAATGGGGCTTAAAACACCGAAATGACTAAATCAGTCTTCCTACATATCCTTTGCGGAGAGAAAAGCATTTTTAAGTGTATAAAATCACAGGATTTAATGACATATAGCCTCATCGAATAGATGTTTTGAAGTCCCTTGGCATGCAACTCAAGTTATAAGAATGAATCTCTTAACCAAAACATATTTTGTAGTTTGATCCGAATGTTTCTGAGAAGGGTGTGACAGATACGTGCCCTCTCCTCACTGCAGGTGTATTGGGCTCGGCGTACGTTAGATTGAAATATAACCTTCACGATTAGGAGGCTAATGAACTCAAGCTTGTCAACTCATTTTTACTATTAAGATTGGTGATGGTTGAATTGATGTTCTAAGCACTCATTATCGGACCTCTAAATTAATTTAAACTATATGGGAAGATGCAATGGGTTTCGAGATATTTGGTTTTTGCGTTATTGTGACCCGATTCCGCGATGCCATGTCAATGCGCAGGCCGGTTCTCCGCACGTCTTTCACGTTCCGAAGGAGCGTAGCGCTTCGTTTTGTCTGCTATCCCTATTTCCCCTCAATGCCTTTCTCAACCGAGTAGTTCTTCGAAACTGTAAGCCTGCTTCCAATTTATATGTCAAGACGCAGCCAGACTACCTAAATAAGGACGCTAAGAACAACCACTGGGAAATTATAGGAGAGGAATTCGGAATTAGAGGTGATTTTCTCCCTGGCACTTGTTGCATGTCGACTGTGTTGGTGACGAATGTCGTGTTAATTTGGAGACACTCTCAAAAGTAGCCTTCATCTCTGACGCGCCGCCAGGGCAGCAAAGCTCTGACCTGTCACTTGGTGTTTCGGTAGGACCGACTCGGCCGGACCCAAAATCTGCGCCTCCTTCTCCTCATAGCGCGGCGACGTCAAAAAATCAACGAGCAACCTAGGACAACCACATTCACGCTGATCACGAGGTCATCATCGATACCTACTAGGTAGGAAGTGAGTGCGGTTCCGAGGCTAATATTTGCGAAAGATGGGAGCCGAAACGGAAAAATCTAACGAAGGGCAGACGACGAAAAAGCGGGAAATCCGACGGGAGGCACCATCGCAAGAGCCAGTGCTGTCGCGTGACGCCCGCAAAACGGAGGCTAATGTGGCATCCTCGTGTTGGGCCGAGGGAGGCTCAAGTGAGGGTGGGTGCAACTGCTAGATCGGGGATCACGGGATATGGACGTCATGTATTTGCTAAATTTTGTTGGGAGTTTATGGGGAAAAGGTTTGTTTTATTTCCTAACTCAGGTACTAAGAGCCCATTAATGTGATTGAATAATTTACGCAAGGTATAAATGATTACGTTTCCATTGTCACCAGTTTTTTTCCGATAGGTTAAGTATCTGTTTAACGCGAAAAATGGTAAATCCCGCAATCTTGGACGTTGCTGCTTGTCTAACAACCCTGCTTTCTCCTCTCGACGTTTGCAACTCCCGAAGCGAGAAGGAAGCGAGAAAGGCAACGCCAAGGCGTTCGTTGCTTGCAATGGGAGGCGAGAGGAGGAAAGGCGCAGCGTCTGCTCTCGTGCAGGCAACATTGGCGCATATCCTTTCCCAATACTCTCACTCAGGCGCCGCTATTAAATTGCAAACGCTCTCCAAGTTTTGAGTTGCGCCTACCCTCACTTGAGCCTCCCTAATTGGAACGCCGGACGGTGGTGGCGCCCAGCGGCGCCGACCGGAGGGGCCGTTCACGCTATACTCTCTTTCACCTTATGATGTACCGCAGGAAAGGCTACAAGCGCGAGCTCCTTGCTCTAGGGCCCATCTAGGCGGCACAAGCTCTCGTGCGCTAAGAGTAGCTCCCAACGTTATGAGCTCGCGCTTCTGGCCTTGTCTGCGGTACAACATAAGGTGAAACGGAGTATTCGCGACTCCAGCGACCTATAGGGGGCGCCACCACCAAACAAACATGGCGGCTGAGTCCAGGTCGCGGCGGCTCGGCCGGGCCGCCTGAACAGGTGGCGCGTTCAATTTAACAGATTTTTTTTTTGTTTAATGCCCAATTTTATAGGTATTTGAACTGAGACGGTTAAGTGTAGCCGGTGCAGATAAACTTGCAAAGCATAGTTTTGTTTTGCCGGTTTTTTTTTTTTCTTCTTTTCGTGTCAAACTTTCGTTTCGGAGATTTCGTTCAAATCCGAAACTATGGGCTCTGGAGACACGGTAATATACTAATCAGTTTTGATCATCTAAGGAAAGCGGCGATGACTTTAGAATTGTTCCACAGAGAGTAACTTTTCAGCTAACTCGCATGCCTCGACCATGCGACTTATCTGTCCGGGGAATCGAGCTTTTGTGCGTATCCGCGTTGACGAAACAGCTCCAGTCGTCTGCTCGGCCAACAACACAGGCTGCCGGAAAATTATGAAAATTAAGCAACCGCTTCTTGAGCCAAGGACCATGTTAACCGGCCGGCGCCCCACTAAGCAGCTGATACTAGTATTTCAATTCAGGTTTTAGTAGCAATCGAGAAGTCATTTTGCCGAGCGGGTTATGTATTATATTACGTACATGGTCCCACTAAAGCGATATTAGTATATCCTTCGGGTTGAATTATGAGCTTAGTTGACTAGCTATTAGGTGAGCTGCTGAATAAACGTATATTTGACAGACGGAGACATACTACTTAAACTTAGCCAAATGGATCTACAGCCGGCAGCACGGAGACAAACTGACGAGAGTCTTCATTAAAGATCCACGCAGAACCTCTCTGCATTGAACTTTGCTTCGACCAATGTAGACGTACATTGCCGCTGGCTTCGACGTCCTCGTAATATAAATATTGAAGGCGCGATAGGTCAGAATGCCGTGACAGCATCTAACGTTGCGAGACTTGTCTCCCTCCTTTTGAAAACAGATAATTTTCCTCAATCATCACTTGCAGCAAGCAAGTTTTCCTGAAACAAGTAATTGCGAAATCAGTCCAACTCCTTCAGTGTGGTCCAGAGGCCTTTTCGGCGAAAAGCAGCCAAGATGAATAGCCATCGCACCAACAGGTGTGAATGACTCAAACTTGAAGCTAACCGAACACAACCAAACTCAAGAAAAGCAGCTATCGAACCTTCCCATTCACTTGACTGCAACATTGATGTTCCCTCCAGTATCCGTTACCAAGCTGTCGTCACTTTGAATGATATTCGAGACAAACAAGAAATCAAAAAGTTTTTCCGTGATTCCTCCCCATCCAAGAAATCGAAAGCACGCGACCGTGTGCTGTAAGGTAAATGGGCTTTCAAACACGTAATAGAAGAAAACAATCTACTAAGGCTTCACCACACTAATAATCACTCAGGCAAACTTGAGAAACATTCGGACCTCCGTCAAATTACATTGTTCGCCACCGCGCCCACAAGTTCTCCGTGAAAGACACCAGAGACGCGGAGGAGCGCGGAGCGACCTGGACCGGCTGGTTCCCGGTTTTCCCGCTTGGCGGCGTCCGTTTTCGCGAATAGTGTGTTCAGGCTTTACGGGCAGGTCTTCTTTGCGGCGTCGAGCGGCGAGCCGCTGAGGGCGAAAGCTGGTTTTGGCCGCCAGCCCGCGGCGGCCAGCGGCGCGCGGCAAACCTCCGTGACGCTAGTGTGGTCAGGACTTTAGTAAGTGGTTTTGTAGACTCTCAGACGCTCCCTCCGCCGAGCGGGAAGAGTGTGCGAGCGGAGGTACAATTTCGAGAGTAGATTGAAGTCTGCGATGCAGCGCAGAGAAGCGCAGAATGCACCTATGGCGCTGCTGTGAGCCTTGGTATGATACCATATTTACAGCGACACTGATGGCACGTTTGTGGCACCTTTACGCTTGTGAAAAAAATCCCTGACGCCGAAAACAGCGGCAACCCCCACTCTAAAAAAATATGATATCACCTTACACCCCTTTGTCCCATATAATCCACCCCAAAGCTTCTTTTCGACCGTACAGCGCCCTATAGTCAAACAGACGGCCCCAAATTTTACGAGGGGCTTGATAACGCTGCGATATAACTTATTAAATAGCTAAAGTACGCATCAAAGACAACAGAAAGAAAACATTGAGGTTTTTCAGCAGGGCCAAGAAAACCCTGATTATTATTATTTTTTTTTTGTAGTCAGTAGCACGTACATTAGCTATTTTAATAAGTCGTACCACAGGGCTATCAAGCACCTCATAAAATTTGGGGCCGTCTGTTAAGGGTGCACTGTTACACAAAGGGTGTAACAGTGCACCCTTTTACACCTTTGTTTTTAGAGTGCGGAGGTGTTTACATCTATTTCTGTCACCGATGGCGGTTTTCTCGTTTTCCTTCGCCCCTTCGTGTCTGCGGCGAGAAGGCGCGATATTTCTTGTCGTCTGCCTGCTCTCAGCCACTCTCGGCAAGCACTCGGTTTCGCTCAGAGTACGTCCGATACGAGTAGACTTAACGTAATTGACGCTGGATCGTGCACGGCCGCGCTCTCTTCGCCACAAGGGAAGGACCGTTCGGAGATGATCAAGTTCTACTGCAAACAAGACGAGACTACTATAATGTGGTGATTCTTAAATTATATGTGTGGGAGGATATAAAGCGCAACCCAAAGAAGCAGTGCAGCGCCGTCGAATGAACCCGCGAGCCTTTTGTTTCTAGGGGACTCTTTCGGCATGAATAGCTAACCTCATTTTGAAGATCCACCGCTTTTCCATTCGCTCATTCGTCGGTCCTGTGTTATTTCTAGTGAAGTAGAGGGCCGTGGTGTTTGAAGAATGTGTGTTTCATTGAGGCCGGTCGCGGTTTGGATGGTGTCGGACTGCAGCGTGTCGGACGCCGTAGCTCGTCGGTAAGTGATGCTGCTCTGTTTTATATAGGACTCAAATAAACGCCACTTCGTAATCATTTCTTCGCGAGGTACGTACGCTTTATTACTTGAGTGCACTTTTCTCGAAGGGGAGACGGGGATCGAAGCGTAAACACGGGTGATCAAGTTAGCTATTGGATCACGCTAATAACTTATAAGATCACGACCATTCTTAAACCGGGCACCAAAATCCGCTCTTCACCGGAGGAAATCCGCCCGAGAATTTGGAGGTGCAAACGCACTATAAGGCGCGAGGCATGGTACTTCACTAGGCCGCTGGAAGAAGTGAGCGACTTACTTTAGCTTGAGAAAATCAAGTTTCGAAATCAAGTGACAAAAAGGCAGAATCTTGTTAAATATATTAAAGCACGCTATATTTTCGCACCTAATTTTAATCGATCTAGCCTCTTGGTGCTGCAGTCAGTTCTGCGATTTACATGTGACCATAGTTCATCATCCCACTAGTCGGGATGATCTTGTACCAGAAAAGAAGGTTGTTGAAAACGAATGCAGCGTCGACTCGGAGAGAAAGAGGCGCCAAAATATTGTGATATGCACCTTGATAAATATTGATTTCAATTGCTCTGCTTATAACTGTGAAGCTATAAAATGCAAAATGAGGTGGCCTTTTTTAAATAAAAAAAAATCTTGTATTTATGTGGTACGGAAAGTGACTATATTTGCTGTATTTATAATTCCAAATCACGAAGAATCTTGTGTTTTGTTTCTATGAAAGTAAAACACAAATAAACCTTATCGAAACGTCATTCCCCCAAATACCACTTATATCTGAAGAGAGGTGGGCTATATTTGCCTGTGCAGTTGAATTCCTGGTGACGACAATTCGTTCTTTGAATATAATTACAGCTCAAAATTAAGTGCACTTAGCCATTTCCGACGCATTAGAAATGATTTTAAATATAACAACACAAACGTTACGGACAAGTTGTTTTTCACGGACATTGTGCCTGTGTACAGTAGAGAAAAGAAATATCTCAAGTGGAAACCTTTACCTCTGCCAGATATGGCTCCATGGTTGGTTCATTGAACCCCATGATTATCCAACTTAGCATTATAGACCCGACGTCAATCAGGAAGTGCGGATCAACCAGCAGCTTGTAGTAATTATAAATGGGCGTTGCTGACACCTCATCTTGCGTCGACTCTGTCAAAAAGAGGCGCAATAATGTAGTCAAATGCACGTCAATAAATATTGATTTCAATTGCTCTGCTTTTAAGCGTCGTACGGTCAGTGGCAATTTAGCTGGTCCAGTTTAGTGCTAACCAAATGACATAAAATTCCGCATAAGGGTGCCCCCTGCATGGTAAGCTATGAAACCAACTGCCAGATTGCGACAAAAAGGAACATGGCTATCCATTGCAACATCTTTTTAGCAGCTTAACGTGCCCATCGCATGACTTTCGTGCGCCCAGCCCTGAACGCCAATGGGTCAGCTCATTTCGCAGCGCCTCGTAACTTTCCCTATTACCCTTCAGTGTTGGTGAAGTCCAGACGTTAGTACTGGGGCGAGTAGCTTCGTTTCTACGTGCTTTTCGCTGAATTAGAGTAGGTAGCCTGGCATCCTCAGCAGTAGGGTAATCAGTTTGAGGGAGACTAATCAGAATGTTGGCAACGTTTAAACAAAAGTTTGTGCATGCGGTGAACTAAAATTAGAATAATCCCGAGTTCGTTTTTTGGGAAATGCTAGAGGCTCTTCTTTGATTACAAACCTAATGCCCATGCATTTTGCGCACGACAATCTTTGAGCGATGTATGTATCTATATTATATATATGTATATACCTAGGTACCACACCGCGTCGGCAGGTATTGGGACTACGCCGGCCGGCCCTGGTAACAGGGTGGCGGCGCCCGGCCTTTGGCGCCGGTGAGCTACCGGCCCCAGCCGGCGTCGGGGTTTCTTCTTGCTCACTGGCCAGTTTAGCCGTAGAAGTTACAGTGACCGGCCGGCATCGGGTTTTTGCTGTCTTTGCTGGCCATTCTTTTCATGGAGGTTCCAGTAAGTGTCCGGTATCGGTATTTTGCTGTCGTTGATAGCCAGTATTTACATGGAAGTTCAGTAACTGGCCGGCACCGGTACTTTGCTGTCTTTGATGGCCAGTATTTACGTGGAAGTTCAGTGACTGACCGGCATCGGCGCTTTGCTGTTCAGGCTGGCGAGCCCGCCATAGAAGTTCTGTTTACTAACCGACATTGTTTTATTTATTTTTTTGCCGTTTTCAGTATGCAGTCAAGTCATTAAGATTCTGAAGAACTGTGGCAATTCATGAATAGCAAGTGGAAATGTTTGCGTTGATCAATCCTTCGTAAATAACTGCCAACGCTGGTGTATTTGATCCAAACATGGCAAGGCTGACGTGTTTTATCGCGAAAACACGAGAAAAAACAATGCGGTGAGGAAAATTTGCAGCTCAGGATTCGAGAATGTGACCACCTACGCCATGAAAAATAAATAGCACAAAGCCGATCGATACTTCTTCAGGAAGCTAGCTTAATTTGATGCACTATAGTTAAGATACGACCGTATACGCACATGATTGGCTCTTTGTCCTTCCTAAAATCAATAAATAAATACTTACCCGTACTGATACCACATTAAATATCGAATTTTTTTTGTTAACATCTTCCGGGTGTTGTTACAATTTGCGTTTGTATGCATTATGTTTGCTTTTATACTTCGTGTTTTTTTTTTAACGAGTAGTCCTAAACGTAAACTAGTGTCGCGCGATTTTTTAAATGGGTCAGTTACTGCAAATGGGCATGAACAAACTGCTTAAGACCACTCTTTGTATTCAGCCTATAGCTCGAACCTATATTCTCGTGCTTCTGAAGATATGTCTAAGTATATTAAAAAGCTCTAACACACTAGTTTACGTCGTACCTTTTTCATTAGTTTCCTTGGCCCTCCTGGTAGCAAGAAGAGGTGTGGACAGCAGAGCCACCGTTCCAATCGCAAAGAAGGGTAGCGGGTATGCCCACAGCTGAAATAGAATGAACTCTTAAGACCGCACTTACTGAAATGCAGAAGATGAATGAGCAACTCTGGAACTAAAACACCAGATTATAGATATTTATTACTATAAACGAATACATCGTTAAAACAAAGATGTTGGACGAGGTGGCCATTTTTATTTGTTTTTCATATGATGTTAGTAAGCTCAACGAATTTCAAGAAGCGACACTGAGCACTTCCCGTTTTTTTTTATTTGTGCTTATTTTCTGTTCTGATTTATATCAATAAACGACATGATGCTAATTCTAAGATTTCGGTACAAAGTTCACTGCAACTCACCTTGATTTACGATAAGATTTGCATTGAGCGAAATGATACAATTAGCATGATATCCAGTGAGTCTGTGGGTGGTGCATAAACACTACTTATTTCAATTCTAAAAAAACGCTTTGATTTTATTGATTAATTAAAACAGGTTCTCGGGTACAGATTTAGTGAATGGTCAGGTAAACTGAGCAAATTCGGAAAGCTTACGTTCACGAATGCTCCACCGATGGCAGAACCGAGCATATGACCGATCCCCCACGTCGAGTCCAAAGTAGCCTGTTGTAAAACAAGGATCTATTTTGAAGACTGGGACAGCACACATCTCTAAATTAGTACCCTCTTAGAAGTCCTTGATTGCATGCCTCGACGTGATCCACTTGAAACGGCACTCATTTGTCTTTACCCAATGAGAGCCGACCTATGAGAAGGGCTACCAGTGTTAAAAAAAAAACGAGAGTCATGCTGACCCAGGTAAAAAAGCGTCCTTCCATTTTTACACTGAGCTTGCTTGACATATGGGCATAAGCTAGGTATCGCCCTTCTCATTGGCTAAAACTGGAAAACAAACATCTACGATTTAAATTCCCGTACCGCAAGCTCACTGGAATTTAATATTGCGATGGAACCGGCTTATTTGGGGCAATGAATGTGTGAGAACAAACATTGCGAGGTCACAATATGGCACAGACGTTTAACCTGCGGGAGGTATGAGATCGGATCGTTTGGCTCATCGGACGCGAGCGTGGTTGAACCTAATAAATGAGTTACTGCCAATGATCGTAATAAACATATAAAGACTAAGTTGGGCCCATTTTATCTTCAGTGGTTGGTCAACACTAGAAGCTTGACAAAATCTTACGGGGCTTAATTAACGGTTAGCCGCAAGAAAATTAGGTGCAATTGAGGAGGTATATCTACCCGAAAATCGAGGGAGATTCAAGGTGGCAGTTTAAACGAGTTGATTTGGTGTAACCTAAACCAACAAACTGCGCGGATAAAGAAACAGTGTCGTGTGCATGCGGGTGCCCAGGAGAAGACAAGCTTTCATCCTTCGAGGGCGATCTTTATTTTGCGACTCACGAAAAGCTTCTTCGCAGCGCGGTAGCTCGCTGGGCCTCTTATCAGGGACGCTGATAGTAGAGACCGGAAGCGGAAAAGCAACACTTTCCCCCTCTTATTCGAGAATAGTTAACCCGGACTGAAACGGTCAGGTGGTTTCCGGGTCCTCGGTGGGTAGTATGGTAGGCTGGTAGCGACAGCTCCGCGGAGGTTACTTGTCTCCTTATTTGTGCTGCTGTCGCTGCTGTCGTTGTGGCTGATGTTGCTGTTGGCACTGCGAGAGCTGGCTTGTTCTTGACAGGTTGCAGCAATACTGGTAACAGCTCGTCGTCCAGCTCAAACGCAGCCTTGCTTGTGGAGGGTGGCGCTGGCAATAAGTGATCGCGGTGCCTCCTGCAGGTATGCACTCTATGCGACGTGGTAACTTGTACCATGTAAGAAACGGCCCAGTTCCATTTAACACCGTTGAATTCAACCACTTGGGTCCCCGTTTGAAGTTTCGCACCAAAACACGGTTATTTTCTTAAAGGGGCACTGACACATCAAAATCATATTTTTTTTTATTATCCGAAACCATTGAAAACGATGCCGGGACATTACCCTCAAAATTTGAGATTTGGGAATTCAGTATTCGTGAAGTAAAAAAACAATTTCCAAATGCCGAATTCGAAGTTCCCGCGCGATCGGCGCCGGTGCCTTGACGTCAAAAATTGAGGAGACCTGAGAGTCCACTCTCCTGTCACCACTCCCTGCTGTTGCCATGGCGACCCAAAGCGAGGAGGATAGGAGCGAGCGCCGGCTAGCGCCGGCGTTGCGGCGGACCGGTTTTGAGCGGTGTCGCCTGTTTTCCGTTGGAGGATACAAATCCAGGAGACGGCACCACAACGAACTCCCGATTTTTGGTATTTCAAAAAGAAGGGCCGTAGTGCGTTCGCAATTGCGTTAAAAAACATGTTTTAAGATTGCCGTCATTAAATGTTATAGAGATGTCACCTACAAAGCTTCTAAATTTCCTGATTTTTGACGTCACCGATCAAAAGAAGCAAGGAGGCGAGAGGCGGGAAAATCAAACGCCAAAAATAAAAAGACGCGCGCGCGCGCGGGAAAATTTTTTTTCGCGATGCGGTTTTTTTTGCGTGTCTATGACTACAACTTGCATCGTTTTAGACAATAAAAATAAATACGACCTTTGGGGTGTCAGTGCCCCTTTAAAACGGCACGTCCACACCTCCCCGATGAGACGATTCTTGGAACTGGCGTCCAGAAAAAAAAAATAAAAAAGAAGTGAAAGCCGTTTACAACTCCCTGTAATGCCGAATCGGAGCGCAGCTCTTGAGGAGGAGGAGTGAAGGGTACTGAGGGGAGGGTAGACCCCTCCTCCTTCTCCTCCTCTCATTCTTTATTATGCTCCGGGGGTTCACGTGACCTCGGGAAGGGGGAGTCACGTGACTTCGGGGAGGGGGGTCACGCGACCTCGGGGAGGCGTGATCTGGGGGTCACGTGACCTTGGGGGTCACGTGACCTTGGGAGGGGTCACGTGACCTCGGGGGGCCTTGGGGGTCACGTGGGGGTCACCTTGGGGGTCACGTGACCTTGAGGTGACCTTGGGAGGGGCCACGTGACCTCGGGGAGTCACGTGGCCTGGAGGGGCCACGTGACTTGGAGGGGCCACGTGACCCCTCCAGGTCACGTGACCTTGGGGTGACCTTGGAAGAGGTCACGTGACCTCGGGGGTCACGTGACCTTGATAAGGGGGCCACGTGACCTCGGGGTCACGTGACCTTGGGGTGACCTTGGGGGTCCCG